TGTCTGTTGATACATTTCTTAAGGAAGCAATATATAATTTAGGGGGAGATGATGTTTTCATTCTAGACTAAAATAAGCTATTTCAAAAAATCTGTGTATACAAGATGATTCATTAATATTTTGGTCCAATTTCTCAGAAAATAAATATTTATTGTAAATGTTTATATCTGTTAAAGTGAATTTTGTCAACAATTTGGAGTACATTAGCATATACAGTAGGTGTCCTTAAAAGCCACAAAACCTTGAGTTTGATTCATGGTGTCACTAATATATCATTAAAACTGCCTTGAGAAGCAGGAGAGTACAATTTAGTCTTAGAGCTTAGTTGGCCAATAGAAACAGTGAGTCATGTGTCTGTTGTTTGTTTTGACATACTTCTTATAGTTTGATGCTTCTGCATACTTTCCTCCCAGTTCTGCCCACAGAAGTCTTCTACAGTGACACTGCTCACTGTTCCAGGGTCCAAACAGTGAGGTGCCACACCTGTAAACACATGGCAGATTTCTAACTTGTAAAAAGACACACATATAACAGAGCAAACATTTTTCTTCAACAAGAAGATGAATAATTTAATAGAAAGCAAGGTACTGCATCTATAATCAATTCTCATACAGTAAAAATTAACTATAAAAAAATAAAATCAATAAACAAAATAAAACATCCAAAAAGCTTTCTGATCAACTCACCAAATCCATCAGGGTTGGAACGTGGCGTGTAGAAACTCTGGACACCACACGTTTTGCAGAACGTGTGCTTGGCCATGTGTGTATTAAATGTGTATGTGGTTATGTTGTCTGATCCCTATGAAACATGATAATTTTATGATTTAGGATTATCTGCATTCTGAACAAATGTATTTTACACTCTTCATCTATTCTACACCAAACATCCAGCCTCTAGAGCTCCAGTGTACATGCTTCAAATCCCATACCTGCAGCAAGGTGAACTGGGATTTTGGCACAATGAAGTGGAGATTCTGTTTCTTTGTACAAATACTGCAACTGAGACACAAGAAAGTGAAACAATCAGGTGGGTTACCTCATGGAAAGGGGACTTTAGTCTCTTATATGAAAACAATGACTAACTATGAAAAGCTGACACCAACTTGTAGCTAGCATCTCTGATGTACAATTTCATAAATAAAACTGACAATCATATGATAATCATAATAACATCATCATTCATTTTCATCACATTTTCGTCCTACGTCTGTCCGTAAGGAACTATTTGAAATAGATAACTTCATCATGATTTGTAAACAACTGATTATTTACAAATGAATAGGCTATTTGTAGAAATATCAGCATCAAGACTATATTTTACCTTGTAGTGCCGTGACACTGTTGGCAACAACTGATGGCATTAACATTTAAAGACATTCTTTGCCTAACAGAATGATTTAAGGCTTTTCATTATGTAAAATACCCCCATTTCTTCGAATGACCCAGATGACACTTTCCACTGCAAGGTATTCAGAAAGCCATCCACGTGATCACACAATCACACGTTTTGACCATTGCACTGGGAGTGTGTTAAGGGGTCATATGATGCAATTTCATTTTTTCCTTTCTCTTTGGAGTGTTACAAGCTCTTGGTGCATAAAGAAGATCTGTAAAGTTGCAAAGACTAAAGTCTCAAATCCAAAGAGATATTCTTTATAAAAGTTAAGAGTCAGCCACACCTACCTAAAACGGCTCGTTCGAACACGCAAAGGCATAGAGGAGAAACAATAATGTACAGTATGTGGAACATAATGTGTTTTTTTAGCTTTAAACCGCATAAACACATTTCATTACACCAAATACATAACATAATGTTCTTTTTAACAGCATCATATGACCCCTTTAATGGCTGTAGATAGTCCTTACTTGCAACTGAACACGTGTAAATCTGGAGCGCTCCACAACTCAAAACGCACCGCGCCACAGTGACAACCTCCGGTGTGTTTCACAAGACCATCACGCTCCCTGGAAAAACAAGTTGACAAGTACTTGAGGCGATCTGTACTTCACTGGCTAATGTACTTACCAATGTATGCGATCAAGGGACTTTAGTTAAATATAGTTATTTAAAATGTAATTATTGAAGGGATTGTTTTTTAGTTGGGATAGGCAAAGATAAACACCTGTGTATTTTGTGTTTAATGTCTCATTTTTTCGAACTCTCTTTTCATGACGCAGGGAAAGATAAGGTTACTTATAGCCTACCTTTTGTCTTTAGTTAAGTACGCCATTCGTTTAGCACCTCTAACTTAATGTATGGTAAACTGGTTGCTTGTCGTCTTCAACCTAACCGGTTTAAACTGTTAAGTCATGCTCTCCTGTAGAACATTCCATACTTTGTTGATAACCATCACTACTGCTTGCAAAACAGAACAACCACTGTTGACTGGCTGGGTCACATGCTTCAGCCAGCTCATTTTGCCCTCGGCGTCATCTGGTTCCACCCGTTCAGCTGTTGTAATACAAGCCCAGACAAAGTCCAGGATAACATCAGAGCAGGAAAACTTGTTTTCTTCGAAACAGGCTGAACTGTATTGCATAAATATAAATAAGTCATGTATACATGTTTGCCTTAGTGTTATGTTAGAATCATTATTATACTCATACCTTTTGTTCTTTAATATTTTGAATTGTTTTTAGCTTTATTTTTTGTTTTTCATTTAAATGTTATGTTATGTTTTGAATTTTTTTATTTAATCTCTTTATTTTTAAAATGTGTATAGGTAGTATTTATAAAGTTTTAGCTTTTAGTTTTGGATCTGTTTTCAGTTGTTTTAATACTACAATTGATTGCTTCTGTTGTCCTCATTTGTAAGTCGCTTTGGATAAAAGCGTCTGCTAAATGACTAAATGACTACAAAAATGACATAATACGGATGGTCTATGAACATTAGTCAATCAGTCAAATGTGATGTGAATGTGAACATCAGTCATATGTGATGTGATGCCAAAACTCTTCCATCATTGACAAAGATATTCAAACAATATGGTGAAACTTTAAACATAGGCAAGTTATATAAATATTAGCATTACAGCTTATTTCTTAACATCCTGTATTTGTATTGTCTGGTGTTAATAACAGATTAAATTACAGGCAGGAATATATTGAACATTTCCAGTGATACGCACACACTCCTGAAAGTTCAAGGTACACAAGATCTGGATCTGAACAAACTCTTTTGAGTTCAGTGATGTGGCAAATCATGTGATATGTATCAGCACGGGTCAGGCAATAATAACCAGGACATTTCTAGTGACTTTCAGAACATTTATGTTATGTATTTCCTGTAATTTCCTTGGAAAACTTTTCCTTCAATAGAAAGCACATCTTTGCTTTTAAGAACATAAAGCAAAAACACTACAAATGACATTATCACTTTAGAGGAGCAGTGAGGTAAAATAGAGATCTCAAATTTATATTAACATAAATGCTGACCAACTCGTGATATTATTAGATCACTTTCAAGTGCCAAGTGTCACTGGGTTAAGATGGAGACCCAAATGTAACAGCAGACAAGACCATATCTATAATCCTAAAAACAAACTGATGACACCATCTTAAAGATCACTATCTTGTCCTGGTTGTCTTCTTAAACTTTTACCTGTTTAAGAAGTGAAATAAGTCTAAATGTAAAATCTCCCCCACCCCTCAGTTTTCAAGAAAACTTTCTTAGTTGGGTGATCTAGATAATCTTGCAGCAGCTGTTCATGCTCACGGAAGAAGGAACAGGGGCCTGATTCCACAATGATACTAATCCACTAAGTGGATGACTGTCCAGATAAACAAGGCTCAAAGAGCGGTTTCACATTACAGTCTCCTTTTGAAGTCCAAGCCAGTTAATGTTTAATCATCTTGAGTAATTATTTTATGGTAGCCTATTTTATTTTAACATCACACCCACAGTACTGTACGTTCTGGTAAAAGAAACAAACTGCTTACAACAGGCGGTAACCAGCAATACCTCAGGGAAACCTCAGAGCAAATTTAGAGCTGGTTCATCTTGTTTGTAGTTTTGTCCATGCATGCTTGTCTTTTGCTATGGCAACACAAAGTCACATGGGAAATAACAGATTTCTGTCCAACACAGTGTACAGTATAGGAAAATGAATGAAGCCATGGAAATTATAACTTTAGCATTAGACCTTTCTGTAATAACAGAGGATAGTGCCAAGACTAACAAAGTAAAGCTAACAAAATCCCATCATTTTATTTATAAGTCAGGTCCTACTTTGTAACAGTGGTGAATGTCTGTTAACTTAGCCAGAGAAAATGACCTACATTGCTGCAACAGATACTGCAGGCAGCATGTCTCAGGCCAACTTGTTTCAAAGCAATGCCATCTATCACACATTGCATTCTATATTAAGCGTGCTGGTTGACACAACTCTGTAAAGCCTAGGCTGAAACACAAACAATGTACTTCATGGAAACACAGCTACAGTGAAGCTGATTTTTGTAAACAAACCATGTTTTTGAGCAAACACTATTTTGGGGACAACAGCCTGTCATTTCTGGGCTATAATTATGCTTTAAAAACACAAAAACAAAAACATGCAGAACTGGTCCCATAACTTTAACAAGGGATTGTAGTTTTTGATACAATTATTAGCAAGACTGATTTAAGAATATTAAATCTTCCAGACTATTCTATTTGTGTTATCACTGTATGACATAGCCCTACTCTTTGCCTGGCCCAGATTCCAAAAGACTGAATCGCCACAAAGCGAACAAACAACACAACCAGCCAATCACTGCCTTTTAGTGTACCAAAGGCCAGCCCATTCTAGCATATTCTGGCTTCCTTTTTTGATACTTTGTGATAATAATTATACATTTAAAATACATATACAAAGCATGTAATTCCTAAAAAACAACATATAAATCTTTAGTTTGAAAGCATATTTGAACGTTTTAACAAATAGAAGTTTTGACAGCGGAAGGATCTTTTCATGTGACGTACCATAAACGTCACTCCCCTGGGATTGTATAAATACAGTAGCACTCGCGTTCAGCGGCAGATTTTTCTACGAAGAAGAGGACACGTACATCTTCAGAAGAAATATCAAAAGTCTACAAGCTTTTCTAAAAGGTAAGAATGAACATCCAATTGGTTTGATAATATTATTCAAGACTTTAAGAATAAATTCTTAATGTGTTGTTGTTGTATTGCATTGATTCTTGTCGGTCATTTTTAGATGTCTAAGACAAATTAAGCTGAATTCACAATTCTTTTAATCAGAGTTAGAAGCGTAACATCAAAGGTTACGTTACAAAATGGATGTTTGCTACTTATTTGTGAAGTTATTATATTCGTGCTTTACGATCGGGTATCAGATGTATTTTTGCTGAATCATAGTGCACTTTGAACAAAGAGCCCGGATGTTACTGTAACGCCGCCATGTTAGAGAAAGGTTGTATGGTGTTGCGCAGTACAGTTTTTAAATAAAACAAAACATCTCTTAGTTCTGCTGTCGTTTATTTACTTTTTGAACATTTTTTTTTTTGTAGATAACCGAGTATGTTATACTTTGATATGTAGGATATAATAATTAATAAGACTGTTTAGCAGGTACTTTTAGCAAGTACTTACGTTTGGTATTTTCCACTGCCAGTCTTAAAATAGTCTTTCGGGAAAATCGTTAAAATTTTTTAAGAAAGAAAAAAAAACATTGAAATAAAACCCTTCTGGAGTATCACTGTTTAATCATGTTAACGTTACTCTTATTTAAGCAAATGCTTTTATATTAAAGTGAGGAAAAATAAAAACCGAATGTATCAACTAAATTAAGTCATGCTAATAGTGTAGTAAACCGTAAACCGTGATAAATTATGTAAGGCCACCCCCCAACCCCCCAGAACAAAATGTTAGTTCTGCCCTGAATTCGTGCCATTATTTGTGGTTGACAGAGCTGCCTTCAAGTTTTTCTGGTTGACCAACGCAAGTGAGGTGCAATTAAATACTTAACTTGCTAGAGCATAGTGCTATCGCAAACAAGTGGGATTTCTTTGGAGTTTTGTGTGGCGTTTAATAAATCTTTCAGAAGCCTAAAGCATTCATCTATGATCTTTGCTAGGGCTGCACGATTAATCGAATGCGATTGTCATACGCATTTTGATAGTAATGCCGGTTCTGTAATCAGCAGGTACTTGTAAATTATTGTGATATTTTTACCAGCTGTTTGGACTCTCATTTTGACAGCACCCATTCACTACAGAGTAGGGCTGCACGATTAATCGAATGCGATTTTCATGTGCATTTTGTTAGTAAAGCCGGTTCTGTAATCAGCAGTAAATCATCATCACGTGCTTTCAGATGGAGCAGCATTTACTACACATAGCCGTAGTTAACTGACAAGTTACGCAAAAAAATCGCAGATTATTTTATTGCGCGATTATGACATCGAAGAAATCGTTCGCGATAATGACAGCTTTTTGCATAGCTTCTCAGTGAACTACGACTCTGTGAAGTAAATGCTGCTCCATCTGAAAGCATGTGAAAATACCACATTTAATAACATATTTTTACTCCAAACTCCCTTCATAATGTCAGTCGAGTGTTTGAAATAAATCCTTCTGTGAGATGTGGCTTCTTACACAGAATAAGGCACGCAACATATTTCATAGTATTTAAGTAGTGATAAAGGCATTGCATTATAAATATACTTTATTTTAATGAAAATTATAATAATAAGAACTCAGATAAACCGTATATTGCCGTAGTCATGTGTTTATTAGTCACGTTGAATCAATGAAAGCAGTTGAATCTTCTGTTTATTCAGCTGCAGCGATAGGCATTTCCTGGGTTTCTTCTGTGAGGCATATTTGGTGTTTCAGTGCGAGAGCGCCCTCTGGCCTTTGGATGGAGATTTACTGCTGATCACAGAACCGTGCTTCGCTGAAAGATATGCATGACAATCGCAGCTTCTGTCGAATCGCGATCTCTATTCCATTTCGATTTATCGTGCAGCCCTAATCTCTGCTTTCATTTTGCTGTAAATGATTGTGTTCGGATAGTTTTAAATTAGTTGATGTATGGTTGATGAGATGTATATTAGGGCTGGTAAGCTATTAACATTTTTAATATAATTAATTACATGATGTGGCGACTAATGAATCGAATTAATTGCAAATTAATCGCACATCAAATTTGGCTGAGAAATTACTCCCAAAAGATAATTTAAAGTCATTGTTGTGTAAAGCATCAAATAGACATTACAAAAAGTAGCTTCACCAAGAAATATTTTGTTAGATAAAATTTATTACATATTCTCTTTTAGACCATGAGGGTGAGGTAAATGATGACACAATTTTTGGGTGGGTGAACTATACTTTTAATAATTAATTGTATTAATTTGATTATTATTACTATGGAAATATGAAATTATTTCTTTACTGAAATGATACTCTAAATAATAAACTAAAACTGCCAGTAGGTGGTGGTAAATGTCTTAATGATTAAGTCATCGAGTCATTTATTCATTAATTTGATTCGTTCAAATGGATGATTCTTTCATGAGTGAAGTAAATGGTTTGTAAAGGTTATGAATGGTCCATTGAATCATTAGGCTTGTTCGACTTGAAGCGGATCGTCACCATCAGACGGTGTGTGACATCAAAGTACTGCGAGAGCTATAGAGAGCAGACGGCTCCTTATGCTTTTGAATCGCTCTTGCTGGCCTTTGATGTCATACACCGATCGGTCCGTGCAGCGCCGCTTCAAATCCAACGCGCCAATGGTTGAATGCGCCAAATGGGTCACCCAATTTGTTAAAAACGTGCATTAAAGGGTTAGTTAACCAAAAAATTTTTTTTTTTTACTTACCCTCGAAGCATCCTAGGTGTATTATTCCAAGTTCTATCATTGCAGTCAGCGGGTGTTGCAGCTGAACAGTCCACAAGTCGTCAAATAAAGCTCGCACATTCATAATAAAATGTGCCGCAGACGGCTCCAGGGGGTTAAATGAAGGCCCCCTGTAGCGAATCCATGAGTTTTTGTAAGAAAAATATCCGTATTTCAAACGTAAAACACTTTTCTCTTCCTTCCGTTATCTATCATATGTGGATCTGTTCCGGCGGAAGGCGTATGATGTATGCGCAGCACGCGCGCCTCTGAGATATGCTAGTCTCACGAGTTTGTTTAATAGGAGAAACGATAGCAAAGTTTCCTTACTTTAGTAAAGGAAAACCAGTCTCCTCTTGGAAATCCTCCGACAAATATTTCTTTGCAAATCTTCGGTTTGTACTTCTTATTCGTGACCGGCGTTTTGTTTTGTTCTCTCTCCGCATTGACACTCATGGATTCGCTACAAGGGGCCTTTATTCATCCCCTGGAGCTGTCTGCGGCACGTTTTATGAATGCGTGAGCTTTATTTGACGACTTGTGGACTGTTCAACTGCAACACCCGCTGAGTGCCATTAAAACAGCTTGAAATATCAAAGACAATTTTTAATATAACTCTGACTGGATTCGTCTGAAAGAAGAAAGTCATATACACCTAGGATGCTTCGAGGGTAAGTAAAACACAAGCTAATTTTCATTTTTGGGTGAACTAACCCTTTAAGAAATGAAATGCCGCTGTGTGTTGCTCTGAGATGAACAGTTCTGCTTTGTCTTTATATTTTTGTTGGCAAAATTGAGCAAAATTGAGCAAAACAGACAACATTGTCTAAAATAACACAATATTAACTTCTTACTTGCTGAACTGTTGTATAAGATCAGTATCACATTTGCACTCGTGTGATATTGCACTTAGCCTATTGACGTAGCACAAAGTAAAAAAAACACATGTGGCCCGTTCACGTATTTGACGGACCGTAAACAAACCTGCCTGCTACTATTAGAATACTGGGTTCACACAGATAGTGTTTTGGTCACGAGACAGGTCAGTCAGTTTTTATTTTTTATTTGTTTTTTTTAACCGCAAGGTCTAGAGACGTGTTTTTAGAAGCTAAATTTCTTTGAACTTGAGAGCCGTGTTTTAGAATGATGTATTATGCGCGACAAGCTGCTATAAAGACCTGAGACGAGCACAGCATTCAAACACAAATTCAAAGACGTCCGTAGCGCATTTAGTTTGAAATACAATGGAAAAGTACCGCAGTGGAATGAAAAATGCGTTTTGAGTGAATGACCCTACTAAAATGTACTTCGCAAATACAGATGGCAGAGTTGCTATTGAATAAAACAAAATTGCATGGGCAACAAATTTGAAAATCTGACATCTAGGAAATAATGTCTTGGGCAGCAGTTTTACCACAAATACAGACAAGTGATACCACCACAACCACCAGAAATACTTAATTGTGTCTGCTTTACAATGAAACGCAAGCTTATTGCGACCAATTCCCTGACATTAACACATTCACTGCGACCCATTTAACAGATGCATAATTTTAAGTTGGAACAGCAACAAAAAATAACAATACAGCGAAATAATCAACTAACTACGACCATCTAGCCCTCTATTAAACATTAAAGAATTATTTAATAATACCTTTAGCAGTAGTGCTGCATTCTTAGTTGAACTGCTTGCGCGGAAAGTTTGTGTGTCAGATGTAACAATTAAAATGCGACTTTGTGAAACGGACTGTCCTAAATTGTTGCTATAGTAGCATCATATTAATACTAGAAAGCCTATGCATTTGGCAACTGTATTTTTTTTTTTTAAATAAACCATTATATTTCATAAATAAAATCTATTTTCACACTCATCTTGAGTGATAGTCTGAGTGAGGGGCGATGCCCCCTGTGGCGCCGGCCCTGTGTAAATATGAGAAAAAAACTAAAACGGGGGCATTTTTGCCCCATATCTTGAATTTTAGGGACATTCTAACTACGTTCTCTAGGCTCCATCACGCAGTGAGTTGTTGCTCTGCCTCATATTTGTCATCCATCAACTGTATGGAATGTCAGATGACCCACATAGGTCTGGGGTGGGGCGGGGCAAGTGCGTTAACTGCGTTAATAATTTTAACGTGATATTTTTTTTACTGTAATTAATCTAATTAACGTGTTAAATTACCACCCCTAATATATATATGTATATTTAATGTATATATATTTTTTTGTTTATAGATGCAGATCTTTGTCAAAACCCTCACTGGCAAGACCATCACCCTTGAGGTCGAGCCAAGCGACACCATTGAGAACGTCAAGGCAAAGATCCAGGACAAAGAAGGCATTCCCCCTGACCAGCAGAGGCTGATCTTCGCTGGCAAACAGCTGGAAGATGGTCGCACACTGTCTGACTACAACATCCAGAAAGAGTCCACCTTGCATCTGGTGCTGCGTCTCAGGGGAGGTTCAGATATTTAAACTGACAATCTCAGAAATGGACATTTAATTCTTTCAGTATCCCCTGTTCATGCACTCACCACATTGTCCCCTCCTCTCTCCGTACTTTATTACTAAAAATTTTCCACCTGTTTTTTTTTTATGTTCAAAATGACAAAATAAAAGCATTGAAATGTATGATTGTTTCCTTGTCTTTGTGCACTGCTAGTACAATATCTGGTAAAGAAAAAAAAATGTAAATGAGTGAAATGGGACATTGGTTTTATTCTCAAAAAAAGGACACCAAGCACAGGATTATGCTGTAGCATGCAAAAGGGACTGCAAGTCATATTTGATATCGAATTAATTAAATTAGAAGTGGCTTTCTCTAAACCTGTTAAACTATCAATTTTTGGATCCTAGCACTTAAATTGATAAGTCATTACTAGACATCTTGTTTTTTAAATTATAATCTAAAAGCTACTTGGCAGCCGCCTAATTTCTTACGCCTATTTGGTGAGACCCTAGGGTGTAAAACGCTGTAAATCTATTTCGGTGGAGTCTGATGGGCCTGTCCAACAGCTGCTGCTATAAATTTAAAAATGGTAAGGTGGTGCCACCAAGTGTCTGTTTTTGTAACCTGGCTGAAACTCAAATATAGCCTTTCATAAGTCGTTAACAAATTGTATAACTTGTATGCTGCACTGCTTATGTGCCTTTGTTGGTCCAGTGTTACACTGGTTGGGTTGTACTATTTTTAGTGTAAGTGGTATTTTTTTTCACATTCGGGAAGACCTAAATGATTTTTTTTAGTGATTTTTTTTTTTAAGTTATAGAAATAATTATAATAAATAGAAATCTGGCCAGCTATCTCGATGAAGTATTATCTAAAAATAAATCCTAATCTTGTAACGACTGGAAAGGTCGTGGAAAAGTCATGAAATTTCACAAATCAAAATGCCTAAAACCCTGGACATAAGACGACTAGCGCCAATATTTATGAAAATCAGTTATAGCAACATCTACAATAGGGTTTAATGCGATGGCATATACAGTATTCACCGCATTTAATTATCTAGGTTAATGTCAATTTTATAGTTTATTCATTTATCATTTTAATAATACCTACTTCCGTGATCTAATGTAAATCCGTTTATGTTGATTTTAAACGTAGTTTAAACGTTTAATGTTGATATTAAACCTAGTTTAATGTTAGTGAGACCAGCATTAACTAATGCTAATAAAATGGGCCTCATTGTGAAGTGTTCTCACGACTAAAAACACATGTATATATGCTGAATAAACTAGCTCTTGTCTGACTGAAAGCTCCAGACGTTGCTTTTGTTTCGTCCGTAAAACAGCTTAACCCCGTTACTGCTCGCATCAGCAGTTGCATCAATGATATTAATATTGTCAAAATAAAGAAATATTTCCGGAACGAAAGGTATAAGGTATAATCTGATAAATCAAAAAACAAAAGGTTTTGACACAACATTTAGGGGGAAGAACCGGCTACACCACCGTCTGCGCAGAGCAGTTGACAGCTGCTTCGACGCTGTCATCTACACAGGAGCATGGCTCAGACCTGGGGTAACTTTTTATTCTCTCTACTCGATTACAAGACCGAGAAATTTGTCATCGCTAAAAACAAAAAGGTCGGAGTTCTGTTCAGACTCTTTCAGCTGGGGGTGATTGGATATCTGATCGGGTAGGTGCCTTGTGCTTTCTCTAAATCAAGACGTTGAGGGGTGAGCGAGCGGGGCTCTGTCAGTGTTTCGAAGATTGAATCTTCAAAGCACATATTATAATAGGTCATTAAGTGTTGGTTCATGTTAAAAATGGTTACTGTCAATGAATTTCAACAAACCGAATGTAAGTCGACAGTAAAAGCACCATGTCTCGGATGTTATTTATATCAAGGGAACGACTGAAAGCGTTTGACCTGCTATTGTTCGGTTTGTAAGTTTTGCATGTAGTGAAAAAGACATTTTGTTTTGATTCAGATTAGTAGTCTCCATTTAGTCTATAGATGTACCAGAACCAGACAAAAACTTGATACCTTTGTCTTTTTAATTTTAAAATAGTGTTTAAGTGCAACAAAAGCTGCTGAATGTAAGATGACCTGGATCACGTGCTGTGGCCAAATGCTACACACAAAAGCACCAGCCTGATTTCATAATTGCCCTTTAAAACTGTTTAATAGTCGTCCTTTGCAAGAAATAATTAATCTAGAACTTTAATGTAATGATATCTATAGATTATAACGTCCTTCAGGGCGTGTTGGCCATATATACTGTAGGATTTATAGGACATGAGACAGCATTGCTCTCTGTAGCTCGCACACAGATCCTCTTCTTTATACTCTAAATAACCAATAAAATGTCTTTTTATACTTTTCACAATCTAAGTTGTTATTTCTCACACTGTTTATTTTCTTTTGCTTGTGCGTCTTCTTAAAGGTGGGTTTTTCTTTGGAAGAAAGGCTATCAGGAGACCGAGGAAGTCATCCAGAGTTCTGTGATCACCAAACTCAAGGGTGTAGATTTCACCAACAGCTCTCAGTCTGGTCTGCAGCTATGGGGTGCAGAGGACTATGTCATTCCCCCACAAGTAAATACACCTCTTTCCTGTATATTCACTTTGGAAGAAATCTATTTGAAAACCACCTGTTAACAGTCTTTCTCAAAATCTCTGTTTTATGTATTTGATAATGGATATTCCTACAAATATTGACGTGACACACATCTTTTGCTTTAAATTTGAACACTAAACATTTAGTTTGTCAATTATGTTAATCATGTTACACAATGAAACATCTATTTTCGGTTATCTTCATATTAGTAGTACTCTAAATTAACAGCTTTCGGCCTTTTGTTAGATGACAGATGAAGATTGTTTAGATGGAAGAAGTTTAAAGAAATAAAGACTGAAAAGAACCAAAAGCTTGTTGGTTCTGTGGAAAACAAACTGAACAGTTACTTTGCTGTTTAAAATGTCTTTTGCAAGAACATGTCTTTATTATTTATTTATTTTTTTTACAAACAGGGGGACAGAGTGTTCTTTATTGTGACAAATTATGTAGTGACACCCAACCAAAAGCTGGGTTACTGCCCTGAGGTAAGAGACAGGTTGTTGTTTTATTTTGTTATTCCCAACACAAATTATGCAACCAAAAATATGAGGCATCTGTTGGAAAGAGTAGTACTGTCTCTCAATTAGAGAGCTGTATTCATATAGAAGTTTTTGATCTCAGTACATTTTAAAACCACTTTTGTTGTATGTATGTAGTATTTTGTTTGAGTTTGTTGTATATGTTTGGTTCATTTTACTTATTTCAGAGTCCTAAAGTGCCAGATGGTTTATGTACTTATGACAATGAATGTGTGGAAGGGGAATCTGTCATAGCAGGCCATGGTAAGCACAAAACCTAAATGAAATACCAAGCCTTTTGTTCCTTACAACTGCATACCTGAAGTTATATAAAAGGACAACCTTTGTGTTGTGCAAGATTCTTGTTAAAAAAAAAGATGTTACATTGTGTTATACTACGATCCACTGGCATGTTTAAATTCCTGAGCTTTAAAAGGACTACGTTTTATTGTTGTTTATTCAGGAGTGAAGACAGGTCGCTGTATAAACGACACAGGAACGTGTGAGATTCATGCCTGGTGCCCTGTTGAGCATGGCCAGACACCATCGTAAGAAAACAGTTTTGTACCAATTTCTTTCAATTCATGTTCAGTTGCTGTACATCTACCTCACCTTTTTGCACTATTATTCGCTCTCCATGCCTATATGAAACTATTTGAAGAAAAAAAAAAACATTATTGTACCTGTAATGTTTCAAATGTTGTAACAGGGAGCCAATGCTGGCAAAGGCAGAAAACTTCACGATCTATGTAAAGAACTTCATCAAGTTTCCAAAATTTGCCTTCTCCAAGTAAGTCAAGCCTAGAGGCATCAAGTCAGTGTGTTTATTTATTGAAGGCTACAGAATAAATGTTCTCACATCAATCTATCTATCTATCTATATATATACTGTATATCATATATATATATATATACATATCATACAAATATAACCGTATTTTTTCCCCCCGTCTTTCTTGTTTGGATGTTTTACATGCTGCATTGAAACAGGTTTGTTTCTGTGTCAGCACAGGATGTTCTGTTGTCATTTCAAACTCCTGCAGAATAATAAAGTTCATAGTTCACTCACAAGTGCATAGACAGGATCATTTCTATGGCTTAAATACAGTGTCATCTGGCAAGCTGTTATTTAAAAGCCAGTACAATCCCTTTAAATGAGCACACAAACTAATCTAAACTGAGCTGTCATTAAAATATACCAAAAATAAAGAGAAAAAAAAAATACTAAACAAATGCTATATACAAAGTTCTCTAAATCTCCCACCATGTAGCGGTGTGAAAGAGCAGACTCGCTTGCACATAATGAAGCGTTATGTTTGGATACTGATGGCACAGCACGACAGCACAAGCTGCTCTGAATATCTCTCGCTTACTCATCTCTATTTATACCAGCTCAGCGTGTGGTGCCTGAACTGAGACTTACTATCTTGCTATTCTGTGCCTTGCCTGTTTCACTGACAGAGTGACAGTTGTTCCTCTGCAAAGTCATCACATTGTAGATCAAGCAAATTGTATGAGCGGTTTCAGATACTGCTTCTACTTTTTTTTCCCTCACTTGAAGATCGAACGTCCTGCCTACCACCAACAGCACATATCTGAAGATGTGCAGATATGATAAGGACCATCATCCCTATTGTCCCATCTTTCTTGTGGGAGATGTGATTAACTGGACTGGATACAGTTTCCAGGATTTGGCAACAAAGGCAAGTGGTTCAAACGACACAAGTTAAAACAAAGTCTCCACCATTGTAAACACACTGGTAGTTGATGTTCAAGCAGCAGCTCAATGTATAATCAAAGAGAGATCATATCCTAACTTGTCCACATTAAGACAGTAATCTTTTTTAGTATATGATTTGGGGATTCTTTTAAAAAGATGCTCATGTAAATAATATACAATGGCTGATCCAGGCTCCCCAAAAAGTATTTGGACACTTAAGCCATACTTATGTGTCAATGGCTTATTTGTCTGCATATAATCAAAATATATCATAAAAATGGTATTTATTTAAAAGAGAGAGAGAGAGGGAAAAGAAAAGAAAGATACC